ATTAAGATGACTCCAGCTGAGGCCCTTTTTCTGCTCTTTGCTAAAAACTGAAATTATCACCTCCCTTACTGACCCTAGAAACACCTCATACCACCAGTGCAGGGTTTACTGGAGAACATCTCTCCAAATCCTCAGGCTTCAGCCCCGACAAATGCTTGGCAGTGAGTTTCACCTAGCTCCAAGGAGCTCTTCGTTAACTCTTCGTTAGAGTGAGAATATTCAGCATCCCTCAAAGACTAGACTACCGTTGCATTTTGGACCTGAACAAACACAGACGGCTTTCGTTCTCTTCTCAACGCGGGCTCTAAAATCTGCAAGAATCTCAAAGCACTGTATCACTCCAAGAAACTTTACAGTAAGAGGTATCTGGGCAACAGGCTTGAAGAGGAGTAATATCGACTATGAGGGAGGTCTCTTACCGGTGTAAATCACCTTGCTGCAGGACTGCCTTAAATAACCTGGAGGCGCTGGGCACGGTGCCTGAACGTATGCCATTCTCCACACATGCGGAAGTCGAGGAGGTCAGACTTACTGCGTGTGCCAGATAGGCAATGCGTCGTCCGCAGCCGGGCTCCCCGCGCACACTGTGCAGAGCCGCTCCGTGCATAAGCAGCACGCCGCATTAATTGCACCATTTGTGTGCACGTAGAGGAACTCCCCAGCACGTACACCGCAAGCCCAGTGCACCCAGAGCTACAGCCAGCACCCACCCGTGTAATCTATCTCCTGGCCATCCAAGGACAAATCTGCTCCAACTGTCGTCGTTGGAACTGTTGTTCCAACTGTCTTTCTGTTGGTTTTCGTTCACTTGTCATTGTTTTACAGCCCTTCTCGCCTGTCGTCTGTGTCCTCTTCTGTCCCTTTTCTGCCTGCTCCATGGCATGGCAGGGAAGTGCCGCACATGCATCACCTCCTGAGCCACGGTGGAAACAGCTGGAATTCTGCACAGCTTTAATAGCACTTTGAGCTCACCGACAAGGTTTTTTACCCAAAGAGTAAATTTGGGTAAATTTTCGTCCAGAAAGGCCAGCTGTGATATGTATCCAGTTCAGCCAAATGAGCTTCCTGACACAGTGCGTTCCACAGCTAGCATTTGCTTGCCCCAGGAAACCACCCTTTGCTATGTACATGGAAGGGGTTTAATCCTGCTGTCCCATGGCAGAGCGAGGTATTGGGTGATGACCCTAATAAATGGTCTGATTTTTTTGGAGCAAAAAATACTGGACAGTGACAACTGCGTTGGAAAACACCCTTTCACTGCTCCCAGGAAATCCTTTCTTTCTATGGGAATAGTCAAGCCTCGTAAAGGAACATTCTTGTTATTTAGCTTAATTAGTAGCTAATTGCTTTGCTCAGCAGTGGGAGCTGGGCTAGATCCCAGGCCAGGAGCATTGCTAGTTAAGCCCAGGAGCGGTGCTAGTTAAGCCCGAGTTGAGAACCGTTAACCCGGAGTGCAACTCAACTGTTCCGGTGCAATACCACCGCAAGGGAAAACTGGCGCTCATGCTGCTGAAGGGGTTGCCACGTTTGCTTTGCCCACGTGCGATCAGCGTGACGTAGCTTACTGTTACATTCATAAAGCTGTCATAAATAATTAGCATACACTTCCTAATTTTGAATGATCCTTAATAGGAACTTTTATTCCCCTGAATGACCTCCAAAGAGGAGCCTCGCAGGTTGCAGCCCCAAACACCTCTCCTTGGAAGCACTGTCCTCAGCAAATTAGACATAGAGGCCTTTGGAATGGTCTTTCCAAATGTCTGCTGGTTTTGTGGAGGCTAATGATGTAACTGAGAAGCGGCGTCTGCACTTTAGGTTGAATTCAGACATTTTCCGTGCTAAAATGATTCCAGCTGCTTCATTTGCTTCCTTTTCCTGTAGATTCCTTTCCGATTGATGTATTTCATGCTGACAGTTTTTACAGATTTTGGCACTAGTCAAACAGAATTCCTGACCTAAATCCAGACAGGAATTTATTGTAAAACAGTATCTGTCTTTTCTAGCCAGCTGCTGCTCATTTGGGGCAGCAGGGAGGGTGGCTTTAAATTTGTATTTCAGTTACACAAAGTTAGTTTAGGGGTTTTTTGCATTTTAGAATAACTGAAGTGGAAATCCAGGTTAGCTGTCATGTATGGACCATTCAGATTAGTGGAAGCAGGAGAAGAGGACTGGATGCATGGGAGTGAATGGAGCACAGTGGGCCCGTCCGCCGCTACAGGGAGCAGTGATGTGTGCACAGAGCCCCCGGATTAGCTCCTCCTGGCTCCTTAGCGTAACAGGAAATATGCCGCAGGGTATGGAAGAAAAAGGTCCTCTGGGTCAGAACCTGACGTTGTCTCTCATCCCGAGAGCAGCTCTCGTTTCGGCAAAACTTTGAGGTTTGCTTGGGACTGGTAATAGAAGCCGCAGTGGCCTCGGAGACTTCTTCCATAGCTGCAAGAACACGCTTCCTCCTGTGCACCGCTTACAGCCTGCAGCTTACGTTAGCGGTGGGATCATTACATTTTTCACCTTCAGCTATGCAGACAGTTGCAAAATCATCCTTCACACTCTGAAGCAATCCAAATCCTTCATTTCTTTGGACAGTCTAGTGAGAATATTGTATTTTACATGTAATGGGCATAGGAATATAAAGGTCTTGCTGTACATACACACTCTTACAGCTTATGTCTTAAAGAAATCCTGTAATGCCTTTAAGAACAGACGATCATCATGGCTGTAGCCTTTTTTATGATGGCAAAAATCAGTAAAGAAGGAAAATGTGCCATTTGTGTAGGCCAGTATTTTCACATACATGAAGATAACAACAAATCTCAGGCAGCAATAGAGCTCTGCAAATTGCTGGGACGCTTGTGAGTACAAATGCCGTAACAATTCCAGCGTATAGTAGCTGTGCAAGACCTATTCATCCTTATCACAGTTTATTAGGAGTACAGCAACGTGTAGTCATGTTGGATCTTGAGCATGTACGGAGGAAGGGAGAAATCCTTCCAGGACTGTCTTTTTGCAACATGCTTGACCTTGTCTCCAACATGGATTTGCACAGAGGATCCTGGGTGTATGCAGTTCGTTGCAGGCTCAGGTTTGCAAAATGCCAGAACCGATAATCCTTTCCTTGACCCCTCAGTTGTCCTTGGGGAACAAAGCTAAATCATTACTGTGGGTTTGAGAGCAATATTTGGGTGAGAAGTTCTTCCTGACTGTAATGCAAAACGATGCAAGTGCCTCAGCAGCCTTGCATTCATGAAATTGTAGTGCTGCTTATCATCAAATTAGCAATACCAGCTTCTCTTGCAAACGGGCTTCTTTGTAGTCTCACTGGAAGGATGCGAGCACTGAAAAGTGGCCAGTGATACACTATGTACCATTATTTTCTGCCTTGATGGTTGAGAAAATAATATCGTAGCACAGAAGTTTAGTTTGAATTGTTCATTGGACTAAAAACAGTTTAAAAAACCAAGAAATAAATCCAACTGTTAGAAAAAAAGGGTCGTTTGAGGCAGATGAGCTTTCATTCTGAGAACTATTTTCTTGACCGCAGATCATTTGCAGGAACGGACTGATGCTTTTCCTTTTCCTTGTGTACAAATGTAGAACAAGCTCAGCAATTAAGAATTGGCTACCAGCCCATTTAAGGAAGATCACTTGCATTTAGTTTTGTGATTTGACCTCAGCGGCAGAGTGGTGTGTCTGAAAATACACATGCACTGCACAAAATCAAAGTCCGCTAGGCAAATAGCAATGTTCTTTTCTAAAGCATCCTTGAAAAATACTTGTACGTAATTTCTTGCTAAGACTGCTCTTTGCCAGGAAACTTAACTAGTCGGTTACTACTTTAAATAGTAATCAGTTTTGGTGACTCAGTTGAACTCGGTTGATACCAGGCGGTCTACAGATTCACAGTTCAGTCAGCCAGGCAGCTTCCAGCTGCCCTGTTTCCCCCTGGAGAAGCCGACCTCCCCTAGGAGGAAGGCTCCCTCACACAGTAGCCCCTGCAGAAACGCCTGGAGAGGCTCCACCTGCCCGCGCCCTTGCCGGTACTGCAGGTGATTCTGTTTGAGAAGGTCATATAAAAACGCCCAAAGGGACAATGATTAAGCTCCGCCAGCGAAGAATGGGAAACTGAGAAGTGTGATCCTAGCTGAGGAACAGGATTGGGGGGGTGGCTTTATTCCCTCTAGCCTTCCTACGTAGCTTTAGGTTTATGTCACATAAAACCGTGGGTTTTTAAATGTATTTAGGGCTTAAAGATGCAGGTGAGTGCCTTTGGTTAGACTCCAAAGCCTCTAAAAATGGCAGTTAAATAGCCCCACAGTTTTGAGCACCTGTATGTCGGCACAGTGGATGCGATTGTGGCTCTGCCACGGAGACGGCTACGTCAGAGCCTGTGATGCGCCTGGGTACCTTAGTGACCATATCTCTACACAGCCCTGCAGGCAAGAAGTTGTCTCTTTGCCTTATTTTCCTCAGTGCTAAATAATGTTCTCCCTATGCTAATGTGCCATGACGCATCGATAGCGATGATTTTCAGCAGCTGAGGTTTGGGCTGGGAGATTACTGACTTGTTTCCTTAGCTGAGTAAGAGTAGGGAAGAAATTACGTGGTGTTGTGTGTGCCCTTGCTTATTTTCCCCCACTGTGAAGCATTAATTGGTGACTGAATGCAACATTTCCTTTCCCCCATTTGTTCTCTCAGGACTCACATAGGAGTTAATTGCCAAAAACAAAATTTCATGATATAACAATATAAAGGATGACAAAGCCCATGGCGGGGTGGAACAGTTTGAAATGTTGTCAAGTCCTAAGAACACTACTCTAATAATACTTCTTCTTTGGCAATAGGAAGTAGGCAAAATAATCTGTGATGTGATAGTCTGACTTTGCATTGACGGCTTGCAAGTGTTTGGCAACCCAGCAGTTTAGGATTACAGAATTATCAGCAGAGAGAAATATTGTTGCTTGAAATTGTGACATGGTTTTATAAACTTCCTTCTTTTACAGATTCGGTTAAACAGCAGAGGACTTATCTATTCTGTTGGTCTCCTGCTGGCATCTGTTTTTGTCACAGTATGTATATTGCCTTTTGTTCTTAATTTCCAAAAGAGTGATTTTTATCCACCCTTTCTTCACCTGTTCCTTTCTCAGCTCCAGCCGTAACAGTGGTTGCAAAGTCTGTTGTTAAGAGATAGGAACGGTCACCCCTATTGTACACTTCCCAAGATCTTAATCTGGCACTTGGTGGAAGCTATCGCTGTCACGAGGCGGCTCTCATGTTTGTATGTTTTTGATGGGAGGAGCCTGGGAGTTGTGTTGGTAATCACTAGTTATTTTTCATGCTAGAGTAGAAACAGATCCCCTGATGTATGCCGAGATCCATTCTCCTGTTGGACAGGTAGACAAAACGCTCTACAGTTTGCTTTGGCCCTCGGTAGGAACCTTCTGAGATCCAACGTGGAAAGAACAAATAGTGCCTGGACATGACTGTTTCTGTTGAAGTCAGTGCCTTGCGTTCCCTGACCTGTCCAAGTCCAGCATAGCAGACTAGAAATGGTAGGGAGAAGAGGATTTATGTGACATCTTCCAAATCTTGAGACCAGCTGCTATAGGGTTGCACATCAGCACAATGCCCTCGTACGCAAGACTTTAATCTTTTAAGAGGTTTGCGTGGGAGCAAACTAAGCAAAGTCAAGCACAGCCTTAGACTGTGTGGCTCTAGACTGAGATGCAGAGGTTCATATGAAGCATTTGGAGTGAAGGAAAAGGGATCTGGCCTTTGAAAACGTTTCTGAATGAATTAAATGGGATTGTTCTTGCCAAAATGAAATTCATTGCAGAAACTTAAGGCCCTTGGGCCAGGTCTCGAGATGATGTAAGTCAGCGTGGCTTCAATGACTGCGAGGGGTCTACTCTGATTGACTTCAGCTGTGGTCTTCAGCTCACTTGTTGCAGCGCTTGCATTGCGATAGCTTCCGGGTGACCACGACCAGTAAGGGGACAGTCATCTTTGTGCTCCTGTAATTGAGAAAGGGATTTACCAGTTTATTCAAAATGTTCCTGCCGTGGTGGCTTACTCTGTGTTTATTGTAGGTTTTTGGCGTCCACATGAACAAATGGAAGCTGGATAAGAAGCTAGGGTGTGTGTGCCTTTCCCTGTACGGCATCTTCCTGTGTTTCTCCATCATGACAGAATTCAATGTTTTCACTTTTGTGAACTTGCCCATGTGCAGAGATCACTAATGCAGGTGGCAGACTGTCGGGAGGAACTTCCTTCTTACCTGTGCAATACAAACCACGGCTGGCATCTCCTGAATGCGGTGCACCTCCAAGTCGTGACGTATATCCTGTTCACTGTTCATAGGACCCGTGGCCCCGTCTAGGTCTGCCCTCTCCCTGACCCCCCCACAACCTGGAAAAATCCTGCATCGATGTGAAGATTATTTTTTTCAACATTCATGTGATTTCCTAGCTCAGTTTTTGAACAGTGTGACTGGGACTCTAGATGAACTGGCTGCTAACTGGCATCAAGCCGGGCAAAACTGGTCTGCTACAATTCGTTCTTTTTTTAAGTTATTTGATGGAAGACTAATCTAATTTATGACTTAAGACTATTGCTACAATGCAGAAGAGGGTACGTCATGGGAATTTTGGGGGTTGGTCTTTTGTTGGGGGGGGGGGTTAGGGGTTGGG